AGTACAAGGAAAACTGACAAAGTCAGTGCTGCATAACTCAGTGCTGGTTTGGAGATGGGGAGTACAGAAAAATACTCTTTTACACTGTTCATTCCCACTCACATTTTTGCATTAGCTCGGCTGCGCACCTGCGATTAATACATGGAGCTGTCTTCTGGACGCAGTCTGTTTTATGATGTTGTTTGCATAGTCCTTCTACCAGCTTGCCTGTTTCTTGGCAGTTCCCCCTTCTTTCAATGTCCTAAAAAACTTTTCTGGGAAAAAAAAATACACTAGAACCACATTACTTGTTTAACCAATTTCTTCCTTTCTTTCTCCCTCCATTACTTTTTCTAGGACAACTAACAGGAGCCTCCCAGTTTGACTCAACAATATCTTTCTCCTTCAACTATTCTTCTTTAGACTTGAAGTGTGTTCTGCTTATAAATCTTCCACAATAACTGGTGTTTGCTTTTTAAACACCATTCAGCTTTGGAATTTATTAGATTGCATTTATTTTCACTGTATATTCTTATAAGTTATCCTGACCATCTTTCCAGTCTTTCTTCACTCTTTGTTGCTCATGAAAGCAGATTCTTCTGTAGCTGTCAAACAGATCCTCATCTCTAAAACAAATAATCTTTTCACTTTCTTCCCTGCCTTCTTACCTCATCCTTAGAGTAGAAGTTGGGTTCAAACCTTGCTTTTTACCTTTTTTTTTTATTAATCAGAGCAGGAAAGGTGGTCAGAAAGATGCACTGCTGTCTCTTTTGAATTAACTGCTTGGTGATGGCCAAGTCGATCGGATGCATCCCCTGCACAATGATCTGTGATTAAGCAGGAGCCCCACACAGAGGAGCTGTGGAAGCACTGGGATACCTGGAGCAAAACCCCTCCCTGTCCCAGTGCTCCAAGCCCCGTGCCAAAATCCTGGCTCAGCTGTCAGCTCAACACCAGCCCTGCCTTCCTCAGGGGCTGCTCAGCACTTTGAGAACTGTAAGAACCTGAACCACTGCTGGGAGAAATTGAGCAATGGCTTCACAGCAGGACGAGTCCCAGAGAATTCCCTGTGAAATTACATACTTTTAAACTTGAAAAAATATATAATTTAGAGGTGAATGCTTTTTCTTTACCCACTGCAATAGTTAGTGTTGCTTTTATTTGCCCTAAAGGAACAAGGGTGCAGGAAAATATTGCCACCCATAAGCACTGTGGAAGGAAATTACAGCAGGTTCTGTTGCAGGATGGAAGCTCTGTTTAGGATCCCTGTTGCCTCCATGGGGATCCTTACCTGTCTCTACAGTGCTGTCTGATGGAAAGGGGAGCTGCCAATCCTGACTCAAAAGGACACAGCCGAAACAGAGCTTTTGTCTGCATCCACATCAGCTGAGAAATACTGAAACACTTCCCTTTGTGCCTGCAGAGAAAAATAACATATGTGCTCTTACCAACACTGAGATGTTCTGTAAAAAGCTGCATCCCAGAGACATCTGAGAGTCCATCCTGGACTTTGAACACAATTTTGATTTCTCCTATAGTCTACCAAAACTTCTTATTCTCACTCAGATACCTATTTCTGAATGTGTAGACATCCAGTAGATTACATCTGGTTTGAGTCCATGTTTGTTTGCTGCTGAATTAAGCCTCATTTGCAATAAAATTTGGTCATTCACCCACTGCAATTCCACAAAAGCTGAATTTAGTTAAAAAAGAAGCTAGAGATAGTGCAAGTCTAATGGGAATTCAACTGAGAATCTTCACCTCAGCTAATGCTGGATGGAAACCATATGAAAAGCCACAATAAATAATTTAGATATTGTCAAGTAATCATTGCCCTATTTGATAAAGGAGCATTTCCCTTTTTTTAACCCCAAAAGGTAATCAACTACTAATATTACTAAGAGAGATTATCATATCAAAAAACTTCCATATTGATTTGCTTTCAACACAACGAACAAGAAAAAGAATAAATCTTGCAATACTGTTAACAGTGAGTCTGACAATGCAGAAGACAAGACAGTAACTCACATTCCCCCATTAGCATGGTTGCAAAGCTAAGACCCCTGCACGGAGATTTTATCAAATTTCTCTGTTTGGTTTGTGTATTTATATCAGGCACACAATGAATGTGGAGGCTCAGGAGGTGGAGGCTCAGAACTGACATTACATGACTGCTTGGAAGTCCAGCACTGCTGCTAAGAGGTATTGTGATCAGGAGCCTGTCTAATACAGAATAATTCCAACATCATTTTAGATATTATATACTTCATTGACACCCAGAATTACAACTTAGTGGAAAACGAGTCAGAAACCCCAAGTCAGATATTCTGAGAATCCCATTTATACATTAAAATAATACTCTCTGGGAGGAAGGAAAAAACCCCTCTCCCCAGTAATCACAGTAATCACGTCGACAGAAACATGTGCGATGGGCACAGAACATTTTGAAGGCACAAGCCCATTAGCATTCTGGTCAGGACTGAGTTTATTAGGCATCTCTCCAGCCTGGTAGCACTATGGAGGCTGTGTGCCTCGGGGGATGTCAGCTTAATGAGGTGCCCTGGCAGTGGAGGGGATGTGCACCTGCTGCTTGGGGCCACGTGATGGGCAGATGCAGGAGCAGCAGAGTCAGGGCTGCCCATTTCCCATCTCCCAGCAGAGGCAACACCACGGGGTGCACAAGGGGTGCACAGCCTGCTTTAACCCACCTGTGGGCGTGGATGTTGAAAGAGAGTTTGTATTCCTGTCTCCTTTGGTACCCAGTTGCAAGGAAGTGCCCAGACGCAAGCGTGAGCTTTCAGATCATGGAATCATGGAATGGCTTGGCTTGGAAGGGACCTTAAAGGTGACCCTGTTCCAACCTCTCTGCCACTCATCTGACCAGGCAACTCAAAGCCCTGTCCAGCCTGACCTTCAGCTCTTCTAGAGATGGGACATTCACAACCTCTGTGGGGAGCCTCTGCCAGGGTCTCACCACTGTCACAGTGAAGAATTTCTTCCTGACACCCACCCTAAAACAGCCCTTTAGAGCTTAAAACTGTTACCTCTTGTCTGTCACTGTCTGTTTATACAAAATTCCCTTTCCCTCCTTTTTCTAAGCCCCCTTCAGGCATTGGAAGGCCACAGTGAGGTCTCCCCAGAGCCTTCACTTCAAGCTGAGCAGCCCCAGCTCTCTCAGCCTGTTTTTACTGCAGAGGAGCTCCAGCTCTCTGAGCATCTCTGTGGCCCCCTGAGGACCTGCTCCATCTCCTTCTTGTGTTGAGGACTGCAGACCTGGACAAGCAAGGGATTCAAGGGATCCCTAAAAACCTTCACAAGGGATATAACCATGGTAGTACAGGGTTGCCAGCCATCAGCTGGGTGAAGCTTGGCACCACTTCTAATTTTATCTCAAGAAGTCTCCAGCCAACTGGCTGAGGGCGGCTAAAGAAGGAAAGGAAGTGTCAGCTGTAGCCACAAAAAAGCAAAAGCATTTGTTCCAGGAATACCTCCATAAAGACCACAACAACAAATGATGGGTGTTCCAGGAGAGAAAGTTCACAGTGTCCTGGAACTATTTATATACTTTGATACAAAATAAAATCTGGTGAGGTCCTGGCACAGGTTGCCCAGAGAAGCTGTAGATGCCCTATCCCTGGAAGTCTTTGAGGCCAGGCTAGATGGGACTTTGAGCAGAAACTCTGTGGAAAAGGAACAAAGACAATTCAAGTACTCTCCACTCTAACACCATGGCCTAAAGTCAAGACCATTCATATTCCCTTTATAGATCCTGATAAAACACTGCATTATTTGTAGTTCATGTGAATGCTTCAATTTATTTGGAGAGGCTTTCATTGTCCTTAGTTCTTCTATGTGTTATTACTCAAGATCCAGGTAGAATTTTTTTTATTTTTGTTTGGGGGGGCGGGAGGAGGTGTGCATTAGCACAGATCTGAAGGAAACATGTAGGTGGGGAGCATAATGCTTCCAACTGAAACGCTTTAGCAAGCAGAGACTACAGTAGTTTAGAGATTAAAAATAGGATGATTTGGATGTGTGGATTTGAATATGATTTATGGATCACTTCCAGAGACATTATTGTCGCTTATCATTCAGATGGCTGTGAAAGTGAAGACTATGTGGGAAATCAAGCAAGAGATACATTGCCTGCAGAATGGGGAAAAACATTAAATCTTGGAGTTGCTGATGCAGCAATTAATATTGCAACCTTCACTGCCTTCAATGCACAGAAGAAAAGGGTAAGATAGCCTAGATGTCTGCTTCCCATAAATGACTTATCTCAAGACTTAAAGGCAGAGACAGGCTTAAACATTACACATTAAAGGCCTTTTTCCATTTGCCTTGCAGGAAATGTTTAAAATAGGAGCCAGTGGTGAATCAGGGACTTGTACTCAGGACTCTTGGGCTGCTCCAGATTACACCTCCAGGTCTAAAAGAGTCCAAAAATATCAGGGCAACCACATCTTCAGCAGGGATGGATGAATGGATGGATGAATGGATGGATGAATGGATGGATGGGTGGATGGATGGAAAGTGAGGAGGTGTGCTCTAGGACACTTGGTGTCTAAAGGTCTCAACTAGAGCAATAATGATAGAAGATCACAACTTTGCACAGCTGATATTCAGAGACAACCATTTAGACATCTAAAATGTCATTACTTTAGTGATTTTCTTTTTGTTTGGGTTTTTTTTTTGGTTGTTTTTTTTTTTTTTTTTTTGTGTCTTGTTAGCTCGGTTCAGAGCAGATCACAAATGCCAAACAGAAGGAAGCACTGGCACAGAACTCAAATACCAAGCTTTCCTTAGTTTGATTAAAACAGTGGGATAATTCCACTGTTTCAGCAAAACTCACCCTGATTTACAGTGGCATAAACGAGATTAGGATTATCTCACTTTTTTTATGCTTTATGTCCAACAATGTGAGGGGAAAAAAAAAAAAAAGAAAAACAAAACCCTGTAAATCTGACAAGCTGCCTGAAACGAGAACTTCAATTTGGCATACCCTTTTTAACAGAAAATAATTAAAGACGTAGTAAAGCATATTTATTCCTCAAAGCAGCATACAGAGACAAGTAGTTTTAAACACACCTGAAAACAATTGTCAGAACACAATCTCAGGAGAACTTGAGCAGCACCCCAATATCTTTATCTTCTTAATGGGTTCTGTTTTACTGAGAAAATTATGGCTCCTTACCCAGCACTCATGGTTACCCTTAAATGCATTTATTTTTCACACATGAAACCACAAAGTTCAAATGAGACTTCTTTGACCTCACACATTTGTTATTTGTGAGATGGTTAATAAAAGTAATTATCAGTAGTCTCTGACAAGTGGAGTGAAAATCTGAACTCTTTGACGTGCAGAGGAAAATTGTGCATGTTCATCAAGAAATTTTTTTCCTTTGGAGAGTTGTCCCAATAGCTGCAAAATTAATAGTCATTTCCAAAGTTAAAAGTCATTTCCAAAACTGAAAAAGTGGAGGCCTTTGAGAGAGAGAACTAGATTTTGCTCAAAAATTTCAACTACAGTTGCCTCATAACCAGCTGTGAAGGTCAAAAATTACTTAAGGAATGCATGTTTGCAAACTTTTAATTGAAGAGGCTGAAGGCCAGTGCTAAGAAGGCAATCTAAGAATGAAATACAATAATAAGCCTAATTTAGCTTCACTGTAGATTTCCACTGGTGTCACATGTCTGGGAGACTGGAGTCTGCATGATGGGAGTGACAAGGTGAATTATAACCAGAATTATGGTCATATAATCAAAAGTGTGGATATCAGTACTGACCCAAATGTTGTTTTCTGAGCTGCCTCTTCCAGCAAGATCAGGTTCAGCAACAATTTTTCAGTGTGATGAGGCTCAGGGTAGTAACCCCCTTGCCCAGAGAAGTGCCATCAGTCTGATGCCAGCCAAAACAAAAAAATCTATCTCCCTCAATAGAATGCCTAAGAGTTTTATTTGAATTAGGGCTGAAATACTTGACCAACAGATAGCAAAGAGCTGTACACCCAGCACAGAGGACATGAGACCATCTGGAAGTCTTCCCTCCTTCCCACCCCAAAAAAAAAAAAAAAAAAAAAAAGGGAAAGAAAAGAAAAAGAAAAGGAAATAAAAGAAAAAAAAAAAAGAAAAAAAATACAGTATGGAAAGTCCTAGTTAGTTCAATTAATTATCCACTGCCATTTACTTAAGGGACTCGTTACAAATATATCCTCATCACAATGACAGGAAATCTATCTGAAAAGTCTGCAAAAAGGCTATTAATGAAGAGAGTTTCTAATGCCTACAAGCTGAAATACCTTTTCACTCCTTTTGCCAGTAGTTCCTGTGGGTCGCTTCTGGGGTCAGCAGTGGTGTGCAGCGTAAAGACTCTGCCATTGCTGGAGAAGGGGAGGAAAAAAAAAAGAAGAAGGAAAAAAAAGTACTTCAGTATTGTCAATCTTTTATCCTTGAATGATACACTAGAGGCTGACATTTAATACCCTAAGGATATAGATGTTTGAAAGCTGGTTATTGTAACAAAGGAAACCATCCAAACTCTGCAAGACCAAATGGATCAGATAAAGCTGACACTGAGATAAATCTGTTTTACATCCATTCTTGCAAAAGTTTTGCTAATCTATGTAGTTATAGCTTTCCTGGAGCAAATGGAGAGAGGGAGAAAAAGGAACCTTACATTATAGGAAGTCAACATGCTGCCCCAATTTGTAATCTCCAAAGTGTAATGTTGTGTTCAGAGAATATTTTTCTCACAGATCATGGGTGAACTCCATAAAAATGAGAAAGATAAAGGAAAAAATTGAGGAAAAGCCACAGAGAGAGGGAGAGGGTATGAGAACAAACATGCATCATGCTCTTTGTGGTTGAACTTCCATGTTAACATAGATTCTGTTTGTTTGTTTAACACATGAATTCGGATCTTTCATAGACACAGACTCATCTTCCAACCAGTCAGAAACTTTAACACCTACTCTTCATTATCCAGTATTTATACCGCCAGATTGGACTTTCATATGGAAGCCTGGAGCAATGCTGGTACAGATGGCAAGATGACTCTCAAGAGATTGATGACTCTGAAGAAATACACAGTATTAAGTCAGAAGGTGCAAATGTTAACATTCCAGTGTAGAAAAGAAATATTCCTTGCATACGCTTCCCAGGTTTGTTTTCTCATGCATTACAAAGAGAAAGAAAAAGCCCTCGACACACCTCATAGCTGGCAAACGAATGATAAATTTACTTTAGTTTCTTTTGTATGTCAACTGTTCATGCCTCAGGTACTTAACCTTTACTTTAAAAACATGGTTCAGATCCTAGCCTTGAAGGTGGGTGGGAAGGGGGGGATGGTATTCCTGTAAATGTTTCATTTAACAAAGGCAGTACTATAAGAAGGTTCAGTGGTGAGACTCTGAATGGTATTTATTGTTTCAGATTTCAGGGCTCCCATACATCTGCTGCCTGTCAAAGGCAGATACCACATTCATAAAACAAGTGCCCTGTCTGAAGCAAGAAAAAAAAAAAAGGACTCTCTTCTCTCTAGCTCAGACTCCAGGATTATGTGAGATGGGAGGCTGCAAGAAGTGAAAGCTCTAATTTGCTGCAAAGATGATCAACAAGAAAATCTTTTATTATTATAAAAAATTGTCTTTTTTGAGAAAAGAGTTTGTGGGCCCAGATGCAGCAAAACATTTTAAGAACAATCCCTATTCCAAAAAGCTATTAAACATGTTCTTATGTGTCTCCATGTGCCTAAGAACTTACTTTGCTGAAGCAGAGACCTAAAGAAGAACCATTTCTATTTACACTAACTAAGCAGCTCATTTTACCAGGCCCATTGCATGATTCCTGACTTTATTAGGTCTGGAATGTATATTTCACCCATGGTGAGAAACATGCTCATTCATTTCTTATGATATCATAGTCTTCTCCATGGTAATCTGGTGCTATGTGAGGAAAAACAATAGAAGAGAAAACTTTTCATGCCGAGATGAAGACGGATAAGGAATTATGTTCAGCCGGGTGGGAGAATGTATAAGAGGAACAAAACCACAGAGCCCCTGATTCTGAGGATCTGATTTATTTAGTATCTGGCATTGGCCATAAAGTGTGGGCAATGAAAAGAGGAGCTGACCTCAATGCCTCCTTAGCAGCAATCAGAAATTCATTTCAGTGTGTGAGCATTTAATTAGCTTCACTGAGTTTACAAGACCTTCAGTCATTTTAAGATACTCGAGGCAACTATGCCACACATAAGATTACCCTGAATCTGGAATGCCAGCCACTTAGGAAGAATGTCTGGAGAGTTTTAATTGAAGGGGACTCCTTTGTTTTTATATCCATTTGATGTGCCATTACCATTTCCTTCACCACTAATTTACACCGAGGGACTCAACTACTCCAAACAATTGTTTTAATCAGTAAATCACAGAAAACCTCCAAGAAAGTTTAAGGTTGTTCTGCGTCTATGAAAAGTCAAATGACACCATTAAATTTTTAGAGCTAATCTAATCGTTACACAGTGCAGCCACTGCACCACTTCAGGCATCTGGGGAGAGTCATCACCTTCGCCTTTTTTACAGAAGACCTGAAATATATCTGCTGTATGCATTTATTTCAGGCATACAATAAATATATATGGAGTGGGATTAACTAACAGGAGGCAATTACTAATTTTATTATGGCTTCATGAGGTCTGTATATCAAGCTCCTCTCCCTGGCAAGGATGAGGAATTGCTAAATACAGCTAATTTCTGGGCTGATCTTATTTATATACTGGATGCTAATCCCCTTCACATATCTCATGTGCTTCTTTCTTCTCAGAGATACTGTCCCTCAGTGACCTCCTCCCAGCATTTCATTAAATGCCTTCAGCCCCAGTAAATTACAGCACTTTAAAAACATTGAGTTTAGCATATAAAAAGAGAGAGAGAGAGAGAGAGAGTTTCTGTATGCTGCCATGGGATAAGGTGCAGTGAAAATCCCATACAAGCTGAACTGTACTTCCTAATCAAATGGGTGTAACAGATGGCTGCTAGAGCAAGCCATCACAATGGAAATATCTGCAGTTCTCATGGTAACGGAATCTGCCAGGTCTGAGGGATTTGCTGTTTTCCAGGACATCTGAGCTGCAATCTCTTTCGAGCTGTCTAGCAGTCTCAGTCTCGCTCTCTCTCACTCTCTCAGCATGATGGAGATAGAGTTGAAAGGTGGAGCCTGATTTTGCATTCCAGCTGTGATTAAAGACACGCACACACAAACGCACGCGCGCGCGCGCACGGAATCAATAGCGCTGCATATTCATTACGCTATCTAGAACCTCATTAACCACTCAGACAGAACAGCAAGGAAATTTTAATATTCCTCCTTCTTTAGGCAGGAAAAGAAAGAAGTGTAATGGGGGAGAGGGGAGGAGAAAGGAAGATAGCATATATGTGGGGAATTAAGATTCATGAGACATACCTCTTAATAAAGATACAGAGCAATGTTAAAACTAGCAGTTGTTTCTATTTCATGGCAATATGTCAATATGACTTAACAGAGCAGAGCGAAACATCTGGCCTCAAGAAAAAAAAAAAATCATTATGTTCAATTTCCAAAACATAATATTGAATCTATGGAAGAAGGAGAAGGAGAAGAAAAAAAATAGAGCAACTGTGAACCATAATGCTGAGCAAAAGCATGTGACAGACCTCCTGGTACTGTGTAATTAGAAAGGTGATCCTCCTCATAAGGTGTAGGATAGCATAAAGACAATGAGCTTTAATTATAAAGCTAAAGAATTGGGTTTAAACCCACAGGGGTCTCTTAAAAGGTTCTTATATTTCTGCATGAAATTCAGAATCATCAGCAGGAAGAAAATAATCATTCATGAGACTTTTATTAAAGTATTTTCCTTCAAACCCTGATCAATTTAAAGAAATAAGAAGCATACTGCCTTCTTTGCTAGACTACCTGCTAGAAAGCACACAGAGGGTTGATTCACTGCTGCCTATTCTCTTGGGTATTTGAGCCTGAAGATCAGACAACATGTAAGAATTCAGCTGTGGCTCAAAATGGAAACAAAGAGGACCATTCTTAAAGCAATGTGAAATGAAAAACTACAGGCTGTAGACTGTAGACCTTAGCATGCTGATCCACCACATTGTCCTTGAGGGCACTAAAGTTAAATACATGTGACAGCCAAAGAGACAGGAAAAATGCTTTCCAGAATAAAATGACCCAATCTCCTTTTTTTTTTCCCATGATGTAGAATAAGCCAGGAAAAGTAAGCTCCTCAAGTACCCACTCAAGAATTGGGTGTTCTGAGGTGGTGCTGACTACCTATTTGTGCATCACTGAAGAACATTTTAATGTGATCTTTCCTTGCAGCCTCAAATGCTTTCACTACAACTGCACTCCCCTGTGGTAATGACTTCTGTATAAGGAATTTAATTCTTATGTTGGCTTGGTTAGTTTCAATCAGGCATCTAGAATTCTGTTGCAACAGCACTGCATTACACCTCCAGGGCCCTCCAAACCTGCCAGCTAGGTAGAGATGACTGCTGGTGCCAAGCAAAAACGGCTGCAACAGCAGCAGGAAAACAGTGATAACTGCTTGCAGTCAGCACCAGAACCCTTGGCAACAGGAGAGGTACAGAAGTCACCTCTGCTCACAGCAAGCAGTGGCTGGAGCCACCAGCAGCTCCTCACAGTTGCAACCAGGCTTCTCAAAAAGGATTCTCATGCTGCTCAGTGTGAGACAGCAGTGCTCAAATCCACGTCTGCTTTCTGCCACCTTGGTGCAAACTAAAGAGCAGAATTACTCCTTCACCCAACTGGGAGAGGCAGCCACCCTGGAGTGAACCTGGGCTGATTTTCGGAAGAATGTCACATTCAACTGAGTGAGTAGAAGATTTCAGTTACTTTCTTAAAGTACAGCAGCTGTTCACAACAGGAATAAACGGTGCAGAGTTTTACCTTTTACCAGAGAGCAGGTCTGGGTGGGATGAGGGAGTAAAAAAAGAACATGGAGAGGTAGTTCTGTTCTATTTGAGGCACTGTGTTTCCCCATAAAGTCAACAGAGATTGTCAATGCCATGGGCACACACCATTTTTAATGTTGCATTTAGCACCGTGTAGACGTGCATTCAGAAAATTCAACCCTCAGTGTAGATGGTTAAAAATTACATTTACTCAGCTTGGGATATAGCCAGAGTTAACACTGTGATTCTTGCAGCAACCATTCCAGCCTAAGCAATGACACAAGAATCCAAGAAAATCTTTTACACATTCTTACTTGATAAAGCAGCCCTTCAAGTAACTGACTGTTGAACATTGCACTGCACTGCTGTTACTGTACTGCTAATATTTATTAAGAGATCAGAGTGCTCCTCACTGAACACTTTGTGGAAAGTGCTGACTCAGACTCGATCCACGGGGTGAGCAATGTGATCAGTGGTGCTCCAAGCCACAGAGCCTCACATGTGGAATTCACCCGTGCCAGGGGTCTGTTTGCTCTTCCTCAAACAACAGACTTTAGCACACACACCAAAAAAAGCTGCCTGCAAAGAGCTCTCTTCTGTAGACACCATTCCCTTCCATTCAGGTGATAAGTCACTTTTGCCCTGCCTGCTGACTGTCCCGAGATGGTGCACTCATAAGCCTGACCCTGCTCACTTTGCTTACTTATTCCCGAGCACTATTCCTCCATCAAGACACCAGGTCTAATAATTTCTTTAATATGACATTTTTGGGAGATCAGGACAACAAGAAAGCCTCCTTGACTGTCTAAAAGTCTTTCTTTACCCCACTCAGAGCTCAAGCATCTGACCTTCAACATTAGCAAGCTGACAAGAGTCCCCACATACCTCATAGGCCTCAACAGGATCTCAGGTATCCCACATCACTCATACCTTCCCAAAATGCTGTCCAGCTCGAGCCCCAGCACAGGTTTCCAGTTGGGAAAACTCCACCATGTACCTCTGATGCAGGGGACCTGGACAGACCTCATAGCTTCCAGTAAAGCTTAAGCAGTCCCCAGCCACAGCCTGCAGTGTTCCTTGCTAATCCCCAAGGTAGATCAGAGGACTGTGCTTCAGTTTTAGGGTGTGTTTATGTCACACTCTTTACAGCAGAAGCTCTGAGAAACCCTGAGTTTCGTTCAGTCCCAGATGGCTCTTGGTCCCCAGCTGACTCCAGCCCAGACAGAAAAATCATCAGCACTTAAAATTAGTGGGGTGGTGCAAGCTGGAATCATAAAAATCTGAAATAGACCCTCTTGCTATTTCAGTTCTAATTGCGCTCTTTGCTGCCTGGTTAGCAGACACTTTTCAATCAATTGCTGTGTTTGTGCTGACACCACCAGATCACAAGAGTTGCTCTTGTCATTTCAGTGACCTCCATCTTCAATTGTTCTTGCTGTTTCCAGCGCCCACTGCCACGGAGCAGGGCAGGAATCTTCCCATGCCCACCAGCCCAATATTTCCAGCTGCTACAGAGAGCACATTGACACTGCACATCAGCTGAGGATCTGACCTGCACTATTTACATGGTCAGGGAGCCCTGTGATCTGACATTTTAACAACAAAAAAAACCCACCTAAACATCCCTCGTTTTGCTCAAAGTTGATCCTTCCTGGCAGTTTCACACAGAGATCTCAGAAGTGAAATTCCTCAGCCCTGTGAGCAGTTCCCATCCCCTGCAGGGTCTTCACAGATTTCACATACCAGAGGGAATCTGCTCCAGTCAATCAGCTCTGCAGTCCCCTGCACGCTGCCAGCACCTGCCAGCAGTGGGGACAACACAGGGGACAGCCCTAACCCCAGCCCGTCACACAAAATGTTGCCTTATTCTTCAAAAATACTGCTCAGTGCAGGATGCTCCATTACAGGATGCTCCTATAAATACACCACACTTTCAGATGGAGGAAGCAAGCTTGCTCTAGTAAATATTTCAGCAATGAAGTGGCATGGAGTCCTTAATGCTTGCCATTTTTCAACATAAGGAGCACTCCATCAGAAGGTGCTCTACACTCTAGGGAGAAAATGTGCATTCTAACAACAACAAGACAGACAGTGGCCAGCACCTTATCAGTATTAATTTTCCTTGAAAACATGTGTGGTTCTTCCTCCATTCCACCACCTAATGTCCGGAAGCACTTGATTTAAAAAGAAAGTTCATAAAGTCAAATTACAGACACCATGAGAGGGAAGCTGGGCAAAGCAGAATTGGCAAATAAAATAAACAAATTATTAAAAAAAAATAATACAGCTATCTCCTACATAATTTTTTTTGCCTTTTTTTTTTTTTTTTTTTTTTAAAGCTTTTCTCAGTATGTTTAGCCCTGTGGTGGTGCAGGAGTGTTTGTGAGGATTGAAGAAAGCAGCAGAGCATGGTGGTCTGAGAAGCAGTGTGCAAGCAAAGAGTGAGGGCGTGCAAGCCCCAGAGATGCCTCTGCTGAAACTAACCGAGCTGTTTTATGGGGATAACGCTGATTGCTGAGCACAGTAATGCTGTCAAGACTAACTAGGGCTGCCTACAACAGGGACAAAGAGAAGGATCGTATGTTACAGCATGCCTGAAGTCCAGACAGAAGAGCTCCATGGCAACATGCAGGGATCTCTTATTCTTCCATTTATTCTCACGTGCAGCTTCTGGCATTGATGTGCTCTCTATACCATGAGGTAGGGAGGATCTCGGCTCCTCTTTCTCACTAAGCTGCCAAGCTGCAGCTCTTTCCTCAGCCTTATCCATCCTCATGAGTTGAGAGGGTAACATGGCTTAGAAAAACTGCTCTGGGATGCCTCATGAGATGAAAGGAACTCCAGAGGATGGTTTCTGCAGGACCTTGAAAGATTTATTTTCTGTGGCAAATGACCAGTAACCCCCAGACTGCAATGTGTGAATGCTTGCTGATAGATTTAATTTTATGCATGTGATAATTTTGCAAAATCAGATCTTTCACAGTCACGTGCACACACTCACACTCAAAAGAAAATGTCCTGGTCCCATCCACACATCTTCTCTTGCCCCAGTTTGAAAACTGTTTGCAATGACTGGAACAAAAATCATACCGTATTTCCTTTAGATAATGGAAGAGAAGAACAAAAATCAGGTCTGTGGCAAGTGCAATATTTCATTCTTTCCCTTGCATACTCAGCAGACTTTGTAATCAAGCTTCCTCACTTGAAGACACCCTTCCTGCAAGTATGGAAATGGGCAGTGCCTGCTTCTCAGATTTGTGGAATGTCCTCTTATCAAAACTGTTTTAAAAGAGGACAGACTGTCACCTTCCCACAGGATGGGAGATGTGCTCTGCTGCTTTCCTGCAGAGGTGACCTTGGACCTGTCTTTCACTTCCAAAGCTTTATCTGTCTTGATCATTGAGATGCTAAGTTTGTAGGAGGAACAGAGCAGCAATTTTTACTGTATGTAAAGAACACAGCACAATGACACCACCTCAGGTGAGGTAATGTGTCCGTATAAATACTTTTTTTTTTCATGTAAAGCCTAAAACATCTGAAGAGGCATCAAAAGAGGAATGAGCATGCTGCATAGGAACGCAGTGCAGCTGACAACGAGCTGGTGTAAGATTACTTGAAGTTCTCCTGCAGGTTCTTCCTCCCACCTCCCATCTGTAATGTCACTTGGTCAAACCCTAAACAAAGGTGGTGCAATACAAAACAAATATCTGTGGTTCAAAGGGAGCATGCAAGGCACAGGCCCTGGAGACAGAGGAGAGGCAGAAAAGAGCCATTTCTAGCAGCAAGTGTGAAGAACTCACAGGATTACCAGAACTCCACTTTTGCTTCTCAAATCTAAGGAACAACCAACATCAGGAGGGCACACTAAAAGACATATCCTTTTTTTTTTTTTCCTTTGAATATCCTGTGCAATAAACCTTCCTATTTCAACATTTGGCAAGGTGACAGGCTGTAAAATAGAGCAGGAGAGATAATTGATATTTACAGGAGAAGAAGGTGCAGTTAAAAACAGGTAAACACTACGCCATTAGGAAGAAGTTCCTATTGAAAAAAGTTATTACCCAGATCTCTAAGTTGACACCTGAAATCAAATCATCCTTAATGGATAATGAGAACATTATTAGTGTGAGGGGGAAAGCCATTGCAGACCTTGGGCTCTGGATTACGAAAGAAACAAGATTTGCCTCTGACTTCACTTTTTGTCAGCTTAAAACAACAAAGAGATCATGGTTTACTCTTGGTAAGCTGAACTTTCCATAACAGCAAGGTTTTTTTCCATGTACCTAAATATTCTTCTGCTCTGAACTGGAAGAGGATGCTGGATTGTTTAGAGAGAAGCTTCCTCCAGGTCTTGGTTCCTGTTGTGCTTAGCTATTTTCCAGACGTCTTAATATACATACACCCTGCACAGGGACAAGAAAAGGAAAACATTTTTCACCTGAAAAAGAGGGTCTGGAGGAACAAAACTGTCTGGAATAAAAGCTGAGAATCCACACTGCAGAGCAGTTTGCTGCACTTCTAGTCCAAGTGATCAGGCATGCTGAAGTATTTACATTTCCCATCTGAATAGCAGTCCACATTGTTGTAGCTCACAGGAGTGTTTTCGGCTTCTGCCAGTCTAAATAGAATGATTCAAAACTGAATCATTTCCTGCAATTTTATTTCATAGCTGAATGCACACCATAGCAAGATAAGACCACAAACACATGGAGCTACCTCCAGAAAACCATCCAACCCTCTGGGCTGCTTCTAGTGGAAGTCCTAAATGACTAAAGTAGGTTCTGTTATTATTGTGGCACAGAAATGCTCCTGCAGGAGATGGTCAATGGCCAGTAGCAGCTGAGAGAGCGCAGCAATCACGTGGCAACTGAATTTTCCACCGATTGCCAGAGAAGAAAGGGATGCTTCCCGAGCTCTATCTCTCAGCTCTTTTAACTGAGAATCAATATCACAGAGACAGAGGGAGAGAGACAAACAACCAGCAAAAGGAAAAGCAACTGCAGCCTGCCACATCCACGGGGAAGGGAGATAAAAGCCTGCCGCGCTCTGAAATCTAATATGCCCAGTCACCTGGAATGAGTGTCTCCTGAAAAGGGCAAGCCTGCTCAACATCCTCGGCCAGACTTTCCCCCCCTGCTTCCAGAACTGAAGCACCAGGATCTGGAAAGCTTTAGCCTTATTAGGTCCATTAAAAGCTAACTAGCACTTAGAGCTCACATGGAGATGAGGTGTCAGCAGAAGCAGGACCCTGTAAAATACGTGTGCAACCCATGTTGCTGCGGAGCAGTCTCCGTCCTCCAGCTGACACATGCTGTCCTTTTAGGAGCAGACCAGTGCTGTCTAAACCCTTGCAGGAGCCAGAAAGCAGTTTTTGGGGTGCTGAAAACTCTTCTGAGAAAGCAACCACTGAAAAACACCTCAGCAGCAATGAGCTCTGCCAGAAGACTGAAGTTTCAGACCAATGTAATGTGCCTTTAAAAAGTACCATGTCTGCACTACTGTATTGCTTACTTTCTGAAGCTAAGCCAGAGGGATGTACATAGTAAGATCTTTGTCTCATTTCAGGGAGGATACAGGATAAAGATTCTGTGCCAGTAATCTTCCCTGGATTAATGGTTTCTCTTTTATCTGCTGTATTTCTGCTCAGATGTCTTTGCTCTGAATGAGTCAGTGGAATGCAAATGATGGGTACAGTCGGTCTGAAAATATTTAAATCTAGCTTTCCACTGCACTGCAGGTTTGTGGAAAAAAAAATACTCACATATAAATATACATGCAGAATAAAGGGCAGATGAAAATTACAGATATATCAATAATGAAAAAAAAAGCCCCCATGGTGGGTCAAATTGACAAAAGATTAATTTTTCTGTTTCTCCTTATTTTCTTTTTTTTTTTTTTTCCAAAAATACCGGTATTTAGTTGCTTGCTATGAATGGGTGAGTAAAATCTGCAACACACCTTTCCTAAGCCTCAGACACTAGACAAAAACATTTCTGCGGGAATAGGAACCTGATTTTATTCAGGCTGCTAAATGCCCAATCTTTATTATCCCAAAAAGTATCTTCCTAAAGATAGCACTCTTAATAATGACAAAGGATAAACCAGACAGCACAGACATGATTTCTCTGGATTTTCTCCCTTTCCTTCTTCTATGACAGATTTCAGTTTTTTTCATTCTGCTGGGATATGGTTCCTATCCTCCTCTGCTTAGGGCATGCCTTTTTCCTCTAGCAAGTCATTGCATCCCATAAGCAGCCAGGT